CCTCCCCCACTCACACACACACACACACACACACACAAACACATACACACACACACACACACACACACACACACACACATCAGTGATTGTAATATAATGTGAAAGAGCTAAAATATGCGGTAGTGTCAAGAAACAATATTATGAATAACGTATGATGGAAGTTACTGAGATTAATAGAAACTGACTTAATCGGCACAGAAAAAGAAACACTACTAGGCCAGAAAACAAACTGAAAGTGAGAGGCAATAAACTGCTGGTCCTGGCCTTCAGTACTTTACTCGTACTTTCTACAACCCCACACAAAATATCGACGTGCACGGGACCCGTTAAATGTATGTAATAAAAACTGTCCTGTATGATGACAAAAAGTCAATTGATACTGTACCAGTGACGCTGTCCCAAGCAGATCAAGTCTACAATCAGATAGTATACAAAGCTGAACAAAGTTAGCACACAACAGTTTCCGATCATTATATCATCAAATTTTCTTCATCGCACTCCTCACTTCTCAGAACAGAACACTGTGTTGTAACTTAGTGGGGAAGTGTGCCAAATGCTAATTATAGAACTTGGTGTCTAGCTGGGGTGACGGTGGAAAAGGGGAGGGAAGGGAGGGGGTAGGCCTGGCCCAGACTCTGACAGCCGGCCGAATGCCTATCGCTCCTCGTTAAAATTCCCCTTATATATCTTCACTAGACAATTCCTCCTTTCGCCGGCCAGACTCATATGGGCTAGGTAAGTTATTAGTGGGGAGAAAACGATGAGTAAATGCCAAACAGGAACTATAGGAGGTTAAAAAGTCAATAAACAAAAAAGATTAGTGCCATGCTGACAATAAATGTTCTGATAGTAGTTACGGAAAGGCTGAATCATAAATACATGTTTTGCTGATAAAATAATACATGTATCTGTGCTGCTTAAGACAGTCTCAATCTTAATTTTGTAAGCTACAAAGAGGCCCATTTGGCAATTAAGGGATGCCCTCTATTCATTCTGAGGGCAGTCGATGGATTTGTCCATGGGACTGACGTCATCGCTAGGCCTAAGCCCGCCGTGTGTTTGACCTCGTACGTAGTAGCCTACGAAGTTCCGCGACGTGACGGCTTGATGGGAGGGGAGACGATTTAAAGTTACGAGCCGGCGCGATAACAAACGTGAAGGAATTAGGCTCTGTCGCGACAAATGAACAGCAGTGAATCCCACTTCTCTATTTGAGCGCCTTCAAATCGGCAAGGTGCTTTTGAATGTTGATACATGTTTGTTTGAATTTACTTAAAACTGAATGAAAATCATCATCAGCAATAAATCTCCTGTCAACAGTCCAGCTGAAAAAAAATTTGACCGGCACCACAGTTAACAAACCGCCCCTGCGAATAAACCAAAATTTCTAAGTCCAGCAGGTCGGGGTTACTCTGGATAAATTTCGCAGAGCAATCGGCCTCCCTCCCCGAGTGATATTTCATTCTCGTCGTGTGAAATTATTGCACGCACGGGAAGCTTGCCAAAATTTTCAAACATGCTTAAAATTTCCGCTGAGCTCTGCAAGCGGCCAGGATTCAAACTAATTTCTCGGTGAGATGCTCGCCGTTCTAAATTATTGCTGGGCGCGCGTGCGTCTCCCCGAGTGCTCGCCGACACAATAGTGTCAACAGTCAGAAACACATGAAAAATTACATCAGATTTACCATAGTGGGAATAACATTTACACCTTTTGAGTGCTACATTGAAACGCCACAGATGTTGATAAATTAAAATGCGGGCGGGGGGGGGGGGGGCGTTATCGCTCAAAACTACGAGACAAAAATTTATAAGTGAAATCACCGAAGTTTTTTTTCCTCTTTATCTACAGGTTGGTTGGGAGGATACCCAACCTCAAGTTTTGCGCAAGCAGATAAACGGGTACTGTTGGATACATTGTACCGGTCTCGGGAAACAAGCGCTGCCAGGGCAGCTGTTACATGGAATGCCATCCTCAAGGAGAGGTGCAAACTTGCCACCATTTTGCCTCTTGACTTTTACGAGGTCTCCAACTATGTGAAGTCCCAAGGCGGAAGTCGCTTTAAGCTGGACACGCTTGGTATAGGAGGGCAACCTGTAAGGAAAGTACGTTGTTCATAGTGTGTTTAGTACTTAGTATTTCAGAAACTTTGTTGTTAAACTAATCCAAGTCAAACCTTTACACCATACAATATAATATACAAACACAGTTGTCCTGTAACAGGGTAAACTTCGTCATTTTAACGTGAGCTTGCAGACATACCAAGTACTGAGTTCCCTCTTTCTTCTGTAAATTATATTAAAACTCATTCGGGACGCAGGTTTTGGACTGGATTTGCACCCGGAGACGCGCAATTTTGGGTCATCTTTGAAAGTCTGCCATTTTCCCCCTTTGACCTTTTTAAAGCTGTTTTCACTATCTACACGTTCAACATTTGGACTTTGCCTTAGATATAACCCAATTTGCCTGGATATATTCCTAAACTTACCAGGACCCCTACTAAAATGGTGTATGGAACATAAAAAATTATTTTTTCCTTTAAGTTGACAGTGAAGAAATGCAGTAAAAAACGAGATAAAGTTACAACACAGCTATAACGCGGCTAAAAACATATCCCAACACAATTTACAGTCTAAATACTGTGAAGAAATAGTTTCAGTCATTGTGAATAGTCCATCTTTGTATGGTACTCCTCAAAGATACGTGTTCTTTGTCGCCTCGACTGCCTTCATAAATCGCAACAGATAATTACAAAAAAACGCTATACGGTCAAAAGTACAAAAATACAAAATAAAATATTGCTTAGCAATGTCAACCAAAGGTTTGTTCCCTGGAATACCTTCATTTGTGCGGATACAACGGTCGAGAAATGCTATTGGACGTATACGTGCGAAGCGTCTCAAACAGAGTTCAAGGCTATCGGAAGTATATTATGTCCGATGCGTCCCGAATGACTATGGGTTTTTTTTTCCAAGTTAGAGCTGGAAACCATTCGTCTGTGGTGTATTGGTTAGGCGTTTTGCCGTCGAACGTAGAAAACCCAAGTTCAATTCCAATGAGGGGAAAATTTTAATAGGATATCCCAGTCTTTCTGCTAAAAGGTTTAATAGGCAGATTTGAAGTCAGGTTTATAATTGTCTTAACAGCGTCGACGGATGTGTAAAAAAATAAAACACCTATATTTTTCAAGAACGAGAAAGTTATGCACAACCAGCCTGAGAACCGTCACGGTATGAGTAGCTTACAGACATGTCATTTCTATGACCAGCCCGCTTGGGCCGACCTTGTCTGAGTTTTTTTTTCCTTTCCTTTTCTTGTATGTTTCATGAGATTTCAATAACGGTCATTTCGTCGTCATTTCAGGATCAGATTGCAGACATGCTCGAACTCTTTGAAAAGGTCGTAGTTACCTATGGCGCTACAGAGTTTGGGCTTGTCAGTGCCTCTACATTGACAGGTATGGAATTTGTGTTTATATATATATGCGAGCGATAATTAATATTACATCAAAACTGTGAGTTCGTTTCAGCCCTATAATGTTGTCACTGGTAACCGACTTTTGAACACCGTGTGTGCCCATTTTGTTATTCATTTGCCACTTATCAAGCACTTCTTGAGAAATTTTGAAGTTCAAAAGGGTATAAGCGGCGGATAAAAAACAAACTGGTTTGGCATGTATTGAGTCAACAGAAGCTCGCATCAGTGTAATATTTGTTACATAGACCGCCACGTGTCCTCCTACCAAATCAGAAATATCTATTCATATAGGTACTTAATTCTATACAAATTATACTTTTCTAGAGGCCAATGTTGAAGACTTTTTCTCTGGGAAACCTTTGGACGAAAACAACGTCCGTGTGGTGAACAAAGACCAACAGAACTGCAAGACAAAGGAAGTGGGGACCATCCATGTCAGAGGTAAAGTCCTGAAAAAAACCCTGTTGTATAATAATTTCTCTGTGATACTCTTTGCTTCCTTCACAGATTGGTCACAATTTCTCATAATAAGATACCCAATGTCTAAAATAACTGGACGGGAGGGGGGATTTTGTTCTTTCTTTCTTTCTGTCTTTCTGTCTTTCTAACTTTCTTTCTTTCTTTCTTTTTCTTTCTTTTTTTTTCTTGCTGATTGGTTGGTGCTCTGGTGTTGTTTACTTGTTCTTTATTATCCAACATCTATCGTCTTTATCTCTCCCCCTTCTTTTCCTTGGTTTGCCCTGACAGGTAGGACCTAAAAAAACCACAACAAGTCTCCTTCAGATGAGGTTGTAAAGAATTTACAAGCAATTACAGTAATAGCTATTTACCGTTGACTCCACAGTTAAAATTTCCGAGTTGTGCTTACAAAGACATTAAACCTAAAAAGATAAAGAAAAAGCAAATAAAAGCCCTTCAAACCCATTGAACTCCTAATCTTTTATCTATGCATCTTTTAACGTATTTGTTTGTTACTTAGAAGTGTGTTGTTTAACCTTTTCATATTCATTTTTTTCCAGGTTCCGGTGTTTTCACGGGCTACTTTAACAAACTGGAGGAGACGGACAAAAACACTGCCAAGGCCTTCACGACAGATGGCTGGTTCAACACAGAGGACAACGGGTTTTTCGACGAACAGGGAAATCTTTACGTTCTTGGCAGAGAGAAGGACATCATCATGTACGGCTCTTTCGTTGTCTACCCGGGATGGTTAGAGAGAAAGATGGTGGCTCACCCTGATGTAGCTGATGTCGTGGTGGTGCCCGTAAGTCAGGGATTAGCTGATTTAGGTTTTGGCTTTGGTTATGGTTGAATTATCTGTGTTGATATCTGCGTGTTTATGAATTTGCGATTGCGCTTATGTGTGTTTGCGTG